TTAAGTATATATCAAATCAAATTTTAATTATTGGTTCTTTGCAAAAATGGATTGGATCACTGTAAAACAAAGGAAGCCCAGTAACTGCACGTCCGAGGTGACCGAGGGAGAGAAAAGCACAGGTAGCCCAGTATAACCATCGTCCGTCCCTAAAGTGTCACCGTCAGACATCATTTGACCACTGACTGCACTCAGTTCTGCAGAAAAAAATATTTTACTATCTCTTTCCGTTAATTCTCTTCTTAAAATGAAGAAAAGGCAGTTAAACCCAGCCTTTAGAGGCAGAGGACGTGGAAAAGAGGATACAAGCGATGTATCTGAAGCTCTTCTTCGACAAGCAAGACGAAGTGGTCAACTGAATCTGTCAAACCGAGGTCTGACTGAAGTCCCACAGAAAATATGGAGAGTAAATACTGATGTTCCTGAAGAAGCTAAGAGTGTTTCCCTCGATAATACAGACGATAAATGGTGGGACCAAGTGGATTTGACTAAGCTTATTTTGGCTTCAAACGCCTTGACAAGTTTAGCTCCAGATATTAGCAACCTTCCCGCCTTGGAAACCCTTGATGTAAGGAAACCCATTTAATAATTAAGTAAAATCTATATTTTTATTAATATAGGTCACTGAGTTAAGTGTTATATCTTAAGAATAATTAATTTATTTCTTGAAAACCGTCGATACAGTAGAAAAATTTGATTTGAATCAAGGCTTTGATGTGCAAGATGACGTAATGTTACTATTTATGGTTAACTTGAGATCTGATTTCATAAAATTTTCAACATTTAAGGTCTCAYTCATTTGAACGTGAGTTTTAGTGTAAACATTATAATCTCATATCTGCTTAGCTTATGGAGTTAGTGGGGTATGAGCACTGTGGCTTTAGGGTACCGAAACTGCTACCCTGCTGGCAAGGTCTCCTTTTATTTTCTCCCAAGTAAGAGAAGATAGACTGAGATAGACTCTGATAAAACAGACTGAGTCAATGAAGGGTATGAAATTGCATGTCGTCCTGAAAAAACAACTTGATCTTTTAATTTTTTTCTAGATTCATGACAACAGTCTAGAAGCATTACCTGATGAAGTTTGTACTTTAGAAAATCTCAAAAAATTTAATCTAAGGTAACTTGTACAGTACCATTGAGTTTGACAGATGCACCGGGTGTTTACTTATTGAACAAAAATCACTAGGAAATGGAGATATTCCRGGCATTGTTTTCATGATTGTCCAGTTCATCCCAGTCCTTGTGTGACATGAATCTCTGCAATGCTTGGCTTCGTTGAGGGAGGAAAGCCAGAAAACCTCAAAGAAAAAAAATCATCGAATGATCAAGGGAATAACACCAACTTACTCTTCTCACAYGTAATGCCAAGTCTAAAAATCAAACCAGTCTCAAGCTCTAGTTGATATAGGCAAGCACACAACTGGACCCTTTTGACGTAAGGATTTTTTTGATTTTCAGCCACAATAAGCTTTCATCTCTCCCAACAAATCTTGGTCTTTTAACTAACCTGTGCTTTTTGAAACTTGACCACAATTCTTTGACTTCCATTGGAGAATGGTTAGGTGCACTGGTACAGCTGGAAGAACTGGTAAGGGTTGAAATGAAAATTTTGAAAATTATTGTGTCAATTCATAAAGTAATATAGAAAGTCAGTAGTAATGTAATTTATACCTATACTGTGCACAGTTGCTAGCCATTCCCCAGTTTCAGAACAATTAGCATCATGGGGCTTTTTAGGTGACTGTTTAATACTTACACCTGTATAAATATGGCTTTTCTCGCTTGCTGATAGCGAAAAAGTGATAGGAAATCCTAATTATCATATTAATGCTTTCACTACTAGAGCRGCCAAAAGCGGCCAGAGGAAAGACATTTTTGCTTTTCAATTACCCATCCCCTAGGACATTTCTATGTGTTGAAACACGTGGGCTATTGTTTTTTGGATCATTGACCAATCAGATTCTATCAACTGCTTTGATATGTTTTTCATTTTGATATTGAGAAATAAAAAAACACTCTAATTATGTTCCAAGAAGAGCCTGTGTTGGACCCTTTTAGCCTCTAGTAGTGAAAGGGCTAATTTTCCAATTTTATTTCATTTGTCAGTGCATGAAATGTCAACTGACAHATAAAGTGTTCCCCCAAACAGTCCTTAATTGACTCAACAAAGATTTATTTAGTGTAAGCTGCAGGGAGGGATCCAGGAAATTTCCAGATTTCCAATAGACTTTTTTGAGCTTGAATTGGGCACAATACATATGCTTTCACCTTTTACACAGCGTGTCATTCTTTTTTAGAATAAGACTAGATCCAATAACCTTTATTTCAGTTTGGATGCAATGTTCTCTCATTTCAGACGTGTCATTCTCTTGCTTGAGAATAAGACTCAGTTATATCAGTTATATCAGTTATATCCATATTCTAGTGTCTTCTCATGCACAACCATTAAATGAAGAAATAATACTCTAGGGAATGACACATGGTTTGAAATGGCAGAACATTACGTGTACACCTAAGGTCAAAAGGTGTATGGGAGCCGGTTCTCTCATCTTCCYTCCTATTTCACTGCTCCAACCCACCTCAATTTGCAATGAAGTCTAATTAATGTTTTCTTATATACTTTAGGATTTATCAAATAACAATATCTCTGAACTTCCTTCTAATATATCAAGACTGCACAGCGTCAGAAATTTGAATCTTTGTAACAATTCCTTGGAATTACTTCCAGCTGAAATAGGCCAACTTTTAGGTAACAAATTAACAAATCCAATAAAATATACTTAGACCATTTTAAAAATCTATTTAYAAAATACCACTGTGTTCCATGACTGCAGATTCATTTATGCAAGGTTAGTCCATTTTGGCATGGAATGTTTATGTGTTCCAGTTGAGATCTGTGGAATTTCAAAGTATCTGTGTTGTTGAAGTTGCATGCATTAAAAAATTATTTGTAAAATACCACTGTGTTCCATGACTGTAAATTAATTWATACAAGGCTAGTCCATTTTGGCATAGAATGTTCATGTGTTCCAGTTGAGATCTGTGGAATTTCAAAGTATCTGTATTGTTGAAGTTGCAAGCATTCTTTACTTTACCTCTGGTATTTGCTAATGTTCTGATGCTGAAATGAGGCTAACCCAGTATAGTCAAGGAGTCAAGGAACACAGCTGTATTTTACAAATTCTATTGTAATGGTGCTTTTCTTTATAACTGACTACTGAACGTGTTTCCATAGTTCTTGAAGACATAAATGTCAGTAATAATAAGATCACCAGAATTCCAGAAGGTAAGTTTTACTGAGGTTTTCTTTTCTTAGTTTTGTTTAATAATTAATCTTCTCTCAGGACATTTACAAGTGATCTAGAGCTGAAGTATAATAGATTCATGTTTTTACRATAATTATGAATTTGAAGTGTGTTTGACCAAGATAATCCATTTTAAAGTTGAATGCATGAGTAATAAAAAATATGAAGACCATTTTGTATCCAATTTACAGACTTTTCCTGGGTGAATAATGTGTTTTCCCTCATAAATTATTCATAATTTAATAATTAACTTTAAGAAATTGGGAAGTTAAAGTCACTGAAAAGACTTGACTGCAGGAAAAACCAGCTKTCAGAAGTTCCATCACTGTTAAAATGTCCCTCACTGAAGGTAATGATGATAGTGATACTTAATAAAATATATGTACAATGCAAGCGATGCCATCCCATTCAACTCCATCCCATTAAATCCCATCCATTTATCAATTCACACACATGCATGCCCATGCCCATTCTTCCATTTATCCACCCCACTTGTAGACCCTATTCATCCATCCATCCATCCATCCATCCATCCATCCATCCAACTCATCTAACCACCCATCCTTCCATCCATCCATCCATTCATCCATCCATCCATCCATCCAACTCATCTAATCACCCATCCTTCCATTTATTTATCCATTTGCCCATCCTTCTCAGATTCCACCCTCCTTCTATTTTCCATCCATTTCCTTTGCTTCCTGTCTATCAATGCTTTCAAGCTTACTGACTTCCATCCATTCATTTATCCAACTATGCATCTCTCCCTATCTCCTTCCTTATTTCACTCTATCCATCCATGCTTCCATTCAATTCATCTGTCTATCTGTTCATCTATATTTTGTTTAGACATTAATTTTACACTTACATACCTATAAGTCCTTTTCAATTCTTCCAATAGGAACTCTATCTTGGTCACAATAATATCACACATTTAGAAGGAAGCCAACTCATGGGCTATCCATCCTTGTCTGTTTTGGATCTCAGAGATAACAGGATTGGCAGGTATATATTTCTCTATCATAGAAATTGCCGCAGCCAATCACAAGTCATCAGACTCACTTATTGGTTTATTATTTTTAATAATTTCTCGCACGCTAATTGTTTTTTTAATTATTATTGGCTACTTCTCGTGGATCCACAACACATTGACAATGTGATGATGCCATTTATCATCATTAAGAGGACAGATAAAAAAACTGATCAATGTAAATTTGTTAATTTGCTGGCTACTACAGTGCAAGCTTACAGACCAATCAAAATGGTTGTAAGAATGAATTGGCATTACAGCCAACCAGAGCCTATTATATATAATCATCCAACCAGCTGGCAGGGGAGGGGGGAGGGGGGTATGGAACATCATCTCAGTCTTGCACTGATTTACATAGTRTTTCAAGTTGAGTCAAAGTCAGGCTGAGCATGCTGGAGTGMTATAGTTATTAGTATCATCATTGATTATGCTAATATCCCATAAGTGAAGTTCTCTCAGGACATAAGTATTTCCCTAAGTTCAAGCCCCACTCAGGGCACACATTTTCTCTTTTTCTTTATTTCATGTATTTCCCTAAGACAATGCAATAATATTCGATACTAAAGTGGTTTCCTTCTGGCCTTTATCAGTTTACCTGATGAAATTACTGTTTTGGAGGAGCTAGAAAGAATTGATTTGTCCAACAATGATATATCAAGGTAAGTAGGAGTGTTACAGGCACTCAGCTAAAATAAACAGCTGTTTCAATGATTCCAATTAATTTTTTGTGTACTTCATCCCTTTCTTGCCTTCCTTATTTTCTCCCTCCCTCTTTCCTTCCTTTCTCTCTCCACTCTCTCTACCTTTTCATCTCTGACTCCCTTGCTTCCTCCTCCTCTCCTTCCTTTCTTTTCTAATTAATTTTCAAGGTCATTCATTTCTTGATCTCCTTTAATTGTGTTTCCTGTCAGCCCCAGTTCCAAACTATTTGTTTACAATCACTCAATCAGCTTATTGAAAGTGGTATATTATTAGTTCCCATTTTTCATCTCATTAATCCATTAATTGTTTTAATTGTAGGGACGGACCATTACATTTTTTATGGGGGGAGGGGGGGTTGGGGAGAGGGGCAAAAACGAAAAAAAAATTGAGCACAGCTTTAAAGAGTGAAAAAACAAAAACGTGCGTAAGAAAAGTGTTAGAAAAAAATATCAAATTATGTCCAAAAAAACTTCCTGCACAGCCATGAAGCATAAAAAAAATTCCTGCACAAAATAAATTGCCCAACTGCCCCCTGAAAAATATAATTGTCACTCCCTTATTGAAAGTGGTATATTTTAAGATATCATTAATCTATTCATTTTTATTTATTTTTTCATTCTTCCAATAGCCTTCCATTTCCTCCAGTTCCAATGTTTTGTGTAAAATCCCTCAATCAGCTTATCAAAAGTGGTATAYATTTTATTCCCATTTTTCATTCATTCACTTTTCATTCTTTCAATAGCCTTCCATTTGTGATGGGAACAATGCAGAACCTGAAATCTATTGTGCTAGATGGTAATCCACTAAGAAAGCTGAGAAGGGATATTGTTATGGTAACTAAAGAAAMCAAATAAATGTGTTAAACTTTCAAAGCCAATTTAGAATTCTATAAAGGTTTTGCCCCATATCGTGCCAGTGCCCATAATACAGCTTGGACTGCCTGTGGTTGGATGGCAGAACAATAAAATTTCTTTAGTCTTGAGAATTGAATTTTTTCTTATTTAAACAGATTGTATTGTTTCTGCCATCTAACATGGCTGCCATCACGTGATGTAAGACCTCTATTAAGATTAGCATAAGGAACTTTTCTTCATTACATGTATGTCTCTGATGAAGCCTTAGATGGCAAAAGCTCAGTTTTAATTGGAACCATACAGCTGTAAAGACCTCATTTGGTAAACTTTAAATCTAGTTTTTAATTGTTGGAATTGAATTACAATGAAT